CAGATCTTGCTGTTGCCTGGTCTTCTCCGAGTTTGTTTAGGCAATATGCAAAGTTTTCGCTGATCCTGCCATCTTCAAGTCTCCTGTTCATTAGATCTTTCTCGGTCAGTATTTCGATGGCCTTTGGGATCTTGCGTTTTCTCGTATTTTCACCACATGCAGCCAACCTTTCTGATGATTTACAGTTGATTTCGTGCCCTGTTCGTGCAATGTGTTCCGCTATTTCGGATCTTTTCGTATCCATGTTCCTGCAGAGTATTCGATGTTGCTTGATTCTTATGTCGATTTTTCTTCCTGTTTTACCAATATACTTCTGCTCACAGTTTCCGCATTTGATGCGATAAACTCCTAAGCATTAAAGTTTGTCAGTCTTCTCGTGTTACGTCGGCAGACTCGTGTAAAGTGTTTTCTTCTCCTTTGTTATCACGCTGATATTCCATTTCCTTAATAATGGTCGCAATTGTTGGATCATTTCTGATAAGAGCAGGCAAATCCACTTCTGGTAGCCATCCTGATTCCTGATCTGATTTTCATAAAATCCAAGTTAAAATCTAGCCTTTCTAAACATTAAATATTTTGTTAAATTGTCAATGGTACCCATTTCTTAGGTAAATCCATGTCAGTTTGTCCAACTCCTCGTCCCAGAACTCATTGTCCGTTAGTCGTATCTTCTGATGATCAAACTCCTCAATATTCCAATCCTCAGTCTATAGTTATGATGAGACTGAAAATTAAGGATTATTCCCGCATATGAATTCTTTCTGTATAGTATCCTCATTAGTGTCTCCTTGGAGCGTATGACTTTAACATCCAGAAAGGGTAGTCGTTCATCCTCCTACACCTCCATTGTGAATTTAATTCTTTTGTCAAGTTGGTTAATAAAATTGAGGAATTTATTCAGATTTTCCTTACCATGTGACCAAAGTGCAAAATAGTTAAACAAATATCGCATGAGCGCTCTTGGTTGCAGTAGTGACTTCTCGAATTCCCTTTCCAACTTGTTCATGTACACATTTGCCAAAAGAGG